CRMGSKAAKKAWWKCRWWTWAAAWAAAGTGTCTCCCCCGCCAAAGCTTTAAAAAAGGATATAGACTCTTCCTACTTGGAAGGCAGACATCTTGATCAACGCTAATATATCATACAGCTCTATTTTAATATTTTAACTAGATAGTGTATATGCTATCTCCTTAAGTATTCAACCTCCACCCATCTGTAACTGCTCTATGGTAGTAGCTAACTCGAAAGTAATTAAGTAAGATGACTAAGGTGTTTCTCTTGTTACTGACGCTATTAGCTGGGTGAGATTTGAGCTTGAGCACAGACTCTTTACGTTGAATTATCTGATTCTTGTGAGCCTTCAGCTTGAAGGAAAAAGAGTAAACAGTCATTCTGTCACAATAACCTGCATTTCAAGGTTCACTGATTACGGGAAACTTTGTGCTTCAACTGAGGAAGGGTTTGCAATGAGAGTGCCAGTTAGATAGAAACACCAAGAGGATGGCTAGGACCTTCCATGAGCCGAGTTGACCGTTCTGAGTCCGGAGATAAAAATATTTCAAGTAGCCAATCGCTCGAATGCAGAAATCGCCACCAGCACGAATGAAATTCATTGATTGACCAATCTAGCGGCCCTCTACTGTCTTCCTTCGCTCTAGTTTTTGCAGGTGCAAATATTGGATGTATCACAGGACGCACCTCTCGCATAATTCATGGTGGTGAAAAAAACCGTTAAGAATAAAAAAAGGCGTCCATTTGTTTTCGAGAGTGATGGGGACGATTGACCTTACAGCGTCTTCTACGACGGCCACAATTTCTTGACCCATAATTTCTGATGCGATGAACATCCCTTTTTTCCAGGATCGACAAAACCCTTCGGAAAATTTCAAAATTTAATTGTGATTTTCGAGAAATTCCGGTACAAATCTTTCTTGAATGCTTGTTTGTATTCATTGGAATTTCACGTTCAATATATCTGTTTTCAAACTAGTGGAAGGTTGTTCTTTCTACGTTGCAATAAATAACATGTCCATCTCAATTCATGGGAGCAGAAGTGCTTTTTAACACTTAATACACAATTTTTGTTCGAATGCCATTAGTTATTACCAACTAAACCCGATTTCTCGAGCCACTGGTTGGAGAAAAGTGGTTCTCGGCAGTTTTCCACGGCCATGTTATACCATCACGACCCGGGGGCCAATATTCCCTAGTGCGGCCATCGTGTTCGGCTAGTAATAAGAGTATGAAAAGAGAGAAAAATACAACATGTAACTTTGACAAAAAAAAGAAGAAAATTTTAAAAGAAGCCGATACCGAAACCGTATCAGAAAAGTAATCGTAACCTCACAACATCACGATGATAACGACGATTTATTCACTACGAATGATGTTGAAGGTATGTGGGTTGAAACTTAAAACAATAAATGAATACGAAATTACAACAACTGACTAGTAAAAGTGACAGGAAAGAAATACACTGAACGAACTGAACAAACTTGAAATGACAATACTTACATTGTTACGATTTCTACGAAACTGCTGGACGAAAATAAGCTGCCTAAAGGCGAAATAAAGATAAACTGGAGTAACTGTTCAAAGCGAAGTACTGTATGACTAACGGAAGACTAAACTTTCAACTTGAGAGAAAGCTAATTTATATATGCGAAAACGACTAGCTAACTTAAAGTGCAGTTAGCGTCTATATTACGAAAGAAACTAATGAACGAAGATACGTGACATAGAAACAACAGAAGCTAACTAACCAGCGAAGAAATACTAACGAACGATGAGAAACAGCGACAACATAAAGACACCCTAATGATTGATTGAATGAGGAAAACAAAAAACAAAAACAAAAAACATTCCGCACGCTAAGACCCTACACGATATGTAACTGCCCATAGAAATAACTGCTCAATAAAAACAAAAAAAAACAAAAAAGAAAAAGGTAAAAAAGGATAAAAATAGTGATAATAGGGAGGAAAAATAAAAAAAAAACCAACAAAACCAGATACAAATTTCACGGGGAGGAGTTACTTGGTCTCCAAGCCAGTTTGAGAGTTACTCCTTATCCGCCAGCTCCAAATCATACTCGGGGAGAAGTTATTCGGCCCCCAAGCCAGATCAAGAATAACTCCTATTACGTGATTCGAACCCGCGACCTCGACGATCTCACTTGCACTCGTTGCGCGCCCACGATTACCAGTCTACTATCTCGAAACTCATGACTATAGTCATATTAATTGTCGGGGTGAAGAGTTTACAAATACTGGGTTAGGGGGTAGGGTGAGGACATTTGTCCGACTGAGAGTGCAATGGAGCGTTTCCTGTCAAGAATAAAGGAAATAAAGAATACAGAGAACTGATAGAAGTGATATCCACGAGAAAAATTAGCATGTGTGGTAATGACGGATAGCCTCGTTTACCGGGGCTCGTTAATCACAACGAATCGGACACTTCTCAAAGAAGGTATCAAGTGTGTACTCTTAGCACAATGTCACACGCCTGGTACCTTGCATTATTAACTTTGCATATTTTACAGATACATTTCTTTTAGTTTATGTTCACTTTGTGCAAGACGCGGAATTTGTTTAATAAGCATAGGTAATCGCATGGGTTGTCTTTTGCAGTTGTCGCACTGCGTATTAGTTTCAAGTTGGCTGAGAGGAGAAATCGAGAAGGATTTTGTACTCATGACAGTGGCTGTTGTTCTATATGTCGCAACAGCTAGCGTCTTTTGAACACAGTCAGTTGCAGTCTTTTGCTACTCCACGGTCTGAATTCACATTTGCCATTATTTGTTTGTTATTATTTGCAGGAGTTCCTCGGAATTCTATTAAATGGGAGGCAGCTTTATTTTCAGATTTTTTAGTTACTTTAATACTCACAATAAAGTTATCTTGTTGCTTCTGATTTCTCCTTTGTTTTGTGTTTTCTTTTTCTGTATAGAGATTTTCCAAGTGGGCCTCTGGAAAGATACTTCGTTTAAGGATCCAGATTTACAGTCCCTTAGCTCCAGGCTCCAGACGACCATTTTGTTAGCGAGGGCTCCTAGGACGGTAAACATGAATGACAGAGCCTTTAGGAAGTGGAATGAATTCGCCTTGCACAAGCAGGAGCTGTCGTATTTCCCTGCTAATCCTATGCACGTTGCTGTTTATTTACAACATGTTTTAGAATCCACCAGATCGAGTGCCTCTGTTGATACTGCTTTTTATAGTATCAAGTGGGCTCACGAGTCAGCGGCTCTTGTATCCCCAACGAATAACCCTTTAGTTAACAGGGTGCGGGATGCCGCCTAGAGAATTTTAGGCACTAAAAGGGGTAATAGAAAAGAACCTCTTTCCATTGAAATTCTCAAGGATATAATCGATGGTTCTGATTTGTCCAATACCCTTCAACTTAGAAATGTATGTCTGTGTGCTTTGTTATGCAGGATTTTTTAGGTCGGAGGAGGTCACAAGAATAAGAAGAAAACATATTAAGTTTCTTGAAGACCACATGATAATTAAGGTTGAGAAGAGTAAAACTGATCAGCTCAGGTAAGGAGATGAAGTTGTTATCGCGAGTCCAGGGGGCAGCGCTTGTCCAGTTTCCATTCTTCAACAGTATTTGAGTAGGCTGAACACTGATCCTCATTCGGATGAGTTAATTTTCAGGCAGTTGGTCAAGACCAAGTCGCCTTATAAGATGGTTAACAAAGACACGCCAATCAGTTATTCTACCTTCAGAGATCATTCAGCAAAGAGTTTACGTAGTGTAGTAACTGACCCTTCTGTTTATGGCACCCACTCGTTTAGGTCAGGTGGGGCTTCCAAGGCTGCCAATAGTGGAGTGGGTGATCGCGTTTTTCCGATGCATGGGCGATGGAAGAGTGTTTCAGCCAAAGACGGCTATGTTAAAGATGATATTGCATCTAGAATTTCAGTCTCTAAATCCTTAGGCTTTTAGCTCCTAGGCAATTGTCTACTTCTTCAAGCCCTTTCTTTGGCTTCTATGTCTTTCTTCATTATTGTACGCTGGTGCTCGGCCGAAACATGCAAAATAAACCTAATGGTTCACTATATTAGTGTCTGTTGAGTAGTGTAGCTGAAATATGGAATTTCTGGCGTTTGAGTGCCAACGAATAAGCCGGAAATTAAATATTTCTGCGGCACGAGAGCAACAGGACAAGGGCCTAGGCCCTTGAGTATAGATGCATTATGGGT